ATGACTTTAAAGAATCGATCAAAGAGTCTTAGAGAAAGACAGAAATCTGGACGCTAACTGGCCGATTACAAAGCATTGACAAGAAGACACCATTTCCTTGTCTTATGAAAAACAATTGGTTTCAATGGTTTGAATCCGTCGAAAATCTGATTTTCTATCCCAAACCTCTGCGGCATTCCTTCCTCAACTACCTCGAAATAAAGCCATTCGAATGTGGTCAACGTGGTGGGTCGCTAAACTTCGTGAGACGGCTCCTCATATTAGAACAGCACCTCGTGATAACCCTCGAGCTATCTTGAATGAAATCGTTACATCTTCTCAAGCTGCTTCATTTTCAAACTTAAACTCCATTGTTTCTCGATTTTGGACTTATCAACCTGAAAAGAACACCAATTTACAAAGCTTTATGAAAGAGTATCAAAAGCGATATCAGGATTTAAGGGAGCATTTTCAGATTACGACAGAAATTCACTTTCAGATGCACCATATCTTACTCTTTCACGTTAGAAAGCTCTAGCCTGATCTGGCAAATCGGTGCCGAGGTCTATCATATGAAAATACAATCTCTGAGTGTCTAAAATGCACCTATAGTAGTTCGTTTAGATCCTCAGGTAAGCCAAAGGCTTGCAATTTTTGTCATGTCGTTGGACACAGAGAAGACAAATATAGGAAGAAAATGAACGTTCACAAGGGCAAAGCTCAAGAACAACCTCGATCGGGTCTAAATCAAGGGAACAAGAATATTCTTTCTGTTGATAAATGTTTAGAAGATTATAGTTATCAGTTGGATACTGCTGCGGATTTTCAGGTAACTGGAAATAAATCAGACTTTTCTTCTTATTCCCCTGCATTTCAGACTATTTATGTAGTCGGAGGAGGTAAAGTGATAACTTCTGGCCGTGGTGACCTAAATTTTCCCACTGTTGACGGCAAAACCGAAATCTTAAAGGGAGCTATTCACAAGCCAGGTCAAAGAAATCAAATTCTCTCCTCAGCACAACTAGAAAGCCAAGGATTCTCAATACGTTGGCCATCAGAAAATCTTAATGTCGAACTTCTTCGTCCTGATGGTACAGTTTGTGCAATTTTTCGTCGTACTTCTGGCAGGTTAATATATAAGCCCCCTTTGAACTTAGTAAACCCTGAACTCTATCCCGTGCAACGCGATTGGCATGGTATACTTGGTCATCCTGGACAGAAAGCACAAGACATAGCCTTAAAAACTGCAGGTATTAAAGGTTACAAATTTCCATACGACTGTGAGACTTGTATCAAAACCAAAATCACCAAGCTCAAAGGATATAGCTCTTTACGTAGTGCATCTTCGTTTGGAGAGGTCATCCATATGGACCTAGTTGGAGGTCAAAAGTTATTGTTCCCTACCACAGCTGATAAATCGATTTCTAATGCAAGCTGGTTTCTCCTTGCCGTTGATGAGTTCACTTCCTGGAAGTGGGCATGGCCAGTCTACTCGAAGAAAACTGTGCCTAGCCAAATTGTTCAACTACTGGAACATTTAATGACAAAATTTGGCATAACTCCTAAAATTATACATACCAATAGTGGCACTGAATTCTCTAACTCGGATCTCCAACAAAATCTCTTATCCCGCGGAATCGAGTGGCATAGGTCCTCCTCACACGCTCCAGAACAAAATGGAATAGTGGAGAGAAATGTCCGCACTGTTACAGAAAAAATGCGTGCTCTTCATTTACAATCTGGCTTACCATTACGTTTGTGGCCTCTCATTCTTGCAGCTTCCATTTATATCCTCAATGTCACTCCTAGCTCTGTCTCTCCAAATTCGCTATATTACTCAGTTTTTCATACAATGCCTAAAATTCATAATCTTCACCCTTTTGGCTGTCGTGCTTTTTGGCTTAAGCTAGACAGCAACAAATTGAAATCCAAAGCCAGAGAAGGTATTTATGTTGGCTGCGAATTCTCCGGTGGCCATATTATTTTGAATCCCAACACTCAACGAACAGTTGTAAGACGTGATGTCCGCTTCCAAGAAAACTCTTTTCCCCTCAGACTTCAAGTTCATGCTCTTCATTCAACTCGAAAAGTTATCAAGACAGCTTTATCTGGACCTATAGCAAATGATTGGAATAACGCTATGAATGAAGAAATAAATAATATGATACGAAATAAGGTCTGGACTCTCGTCCCTCGAATTGAAGCAATGGGCAAAATAATGACAGGAAAATGGACTCTAAAAGAAAAGCCAAATGGGCAACTAAAAGCAAGATGGTGTGCTCGCGGATTTTCAGAACCATTTGCGGGTGACACCTACGCTGATGTCCTTCCTCCAACGTCAATGCGCATGCTCTTTGCACTAGCCGCTGGGCACAACCTTTATATTCGCCATGTTGATATTACAGTAGCGTTTCTTCATGCAGAAATTGATCGCCCAATCTATATTGAGCAACCACATGGTAAAGAATTACCTGGAGATCTAGTCTGTAAGCTGCATAAGGCAATCTATGGTATGAAGACGGCACCACGACGATGGCAATTGAAACTCCGACAAGTGTTAAATGAAATGAAATTCCAATCGCTAAAGACCGATAATAACATATTTAGACATAAAAAACATAATTATTTCAACATATGTTGATGACTTTATGATCATATCTGAAGCTGATTCTCATATTCATCAGATTGTTGAAACCTTAGCTGAATCATTACAACTTAAAGACCTTGGCAAAATGACTAAATTTCTTGGTATCAATATTGATAGGAAATCTGATGGTATAAGAATCAGCCAGCAAGATAAAATCGAATCTCTGTGTGAAGAAATGGGCATGGTACATTGTAAAGGTGCAAGTACACCGATCGCTGATGATAATCTGTTAGAACGTGAAACAGATAACTTATGCTCAAAAGATGATGCCTCATCGTTTCGATCGGCCGTGGGAACGCTACTACATATTGCGAATATGACGAGGCCTGATATTCAATACGCAGTTAATCGACTCTGTCGCCACATGAGAAACCCCTCTCAAAATGCCTTAGCGTCACTTAAACACCTCGTTCGTTATACTTCACGAACAAAATCAGCATCCTTATTCTTTCCAAAGAAAGGTCATTTGAATCTAACTGCTTCTTCTGATAGTAGTTGGGGAAACATTACCTCCTCCAAAGGTACATCTGGAATCCTTTTTATGATTAATGACTCACCAATTGCATGGTGGTCGAAGAAACAAACAGTAACGGCCCAGAGTACATGTGAATCTGAGTATGCTGCGCTTACCACGCTAGCTGTCGCTGCACAATGGCTAAAGCCTCTTTATGAAGAACTCTTTCGAACCCCTCCAAAGCCAATCATAACTCAAATAGATAATACTGCAGCAATGATAACAGCCAACTCTAACAAAGTTTCGGCAAGAAATCGTCTTTTCTTAATACGGCATGGGACTGTTCGAGACGCGATTAAAACCAACTCCATCAAATTAAAATATACTCCCACAGATCTCTGCAAAGCTGATGGTCTTACAAAAGCACTACAACGCCTCAAACAAAATATATTTTGCGATCAAGTAAGAATTGATCAACAGCATTCAGTTTCTGGGGGGGTGTGATGGTATTTAAGTCTCACATGACTTGGTCATGTGACAATCTTGTAATTATTTATAGCCTTCATAGTTTACAATAAAACTTCATGCTTTGATCACAACACAAACTATCCGACGTGTTGAATGATGGGGTTTCGTGACTGCTTGTGAACCGATTATTTTCAAGGGCACGTGATCTTTATCATATGCGACTATATTTCTTCAGTAGTCAACGCTTTATTCTGGATCAGTTCAGTCGTAACTGGAATATTCTAGTAATTGGTAGAAATACTGGGAATTACTCTGAGTGGAAAATGCGAGAAGCTAGTATCAGCAAATTACGAATATTCTGGATATTTCAATAAATGTATGAATAGTTGAGGCAATACTACGACAGTTAGGCTTAGAGAAAATTACAAACTACCTTTGTATATCTGATCGCTCCAGCATCAATACTTAAACAGTGGGAGGTTTGAAAAGATGCTGCAGAATTATGCCATCTTCAATTATCTTTACACACCTTTTAGGGACTCTTACTTCTCAATCTGAGCCATCCAGAATGATTTTTTGGCCCGTCTAACAGCGTTCAGCGTTTAGCAGCTCTCGCTTCTCGGATTCGGAAATACCTGGACTTCTAGCACCATTTTTTTGCGTGCTGCCGTTCTTCGTTCCACTAAGCAGTTCCCAGATGTTTGCCCTTACCGCCGGGGCAAGAACCAAGTGAGACCATCTATACGGTTTGAATGATATTTCCAGCTTCAGTTTCTATGTCCAATATAGTTTCCAGTGAAGGGGGGTCCCAATCTATGAGTACTATTACTTCTGCAGAATTATAAGTGACAAACGAGTCCTAGGCCATTTGTCTTAAATAAAAATCGCTGCCCACGAAGTCAGGCAAATCTGTGGTGCTTGAGACTAGATTTAGACCGTCTCCGGCACCTGCACAGTTAGCTAGGGCATTCAAGACATTACATACATTCCATACATATGTATTGCGTCCACGCCCCCCTTCAATAGCAATTTTTACACAGTCAGGAGAGATTATTGGACTGTTTTAGAAATGGGAGTAGAAGGTAACAAGTCATCGAAGGGTTGCTTCTCTATTCTCTGGCTATCGAGCATCTAGAGTACATAATTTTCCTCATATGAAACCTTACTAGATAACTCGCTGGCAATAATGCTACCACCGAAACATACCAAACCGTTCTCAGGACAGATGAGATGAGAATATCATCGGTAACATAAACGTAAACCCAATTCAAAGTATGAGTTATGTAAAATCCGAACAAAAAGATAATTTCCTTGATACCCATCATGTATCAGCATTATCTTCTCCGACCCGAGTCATGTTATGAGTAAATTCGGGTAAAGCTAGAATGACGGTAGCTTAATAGAGATATCTACAGCGGTCTGACATGCGTGAGGACCATACGATTTTTGAACCTAAGTTAGGGCCCTAGGACGCGAGTGCCATACAGAAAGGGGCAAGAAATACAGAAAATAATGGTGCAATATCGACCGCCTTTCAGGGAGGTCTCTTGGAGTCCAAGGCTCTCCATCTAAAAAGATGTCAATTTCATTGCCCTGTGCAAGCTTAAGCACAATACTATGCGCGTTTGCGCTACTCCCCACGTTTTCCTGCATAATGCGAACAATTGGTTTTACTGACTTGTGCCTCCTCACCATAATTAGTTGGAAGGACTGAAAATTCAGCCGGACCCTGAGGGGCTAGATCTGAGAAATCCCAAGTGCATTTGAGAGATTGAGCGAGCTCTTTACTTTCTGCTGCGCAAATTTGGCGCATTTGATCCTCTATTGGTCGTATAAAAACGCCATGATCTTTACGTGGCCGAGCAGGTCAAGAAGCGAAAGTGTATCTGTGAGGGCCACGATAATTTAGGCACTGCACTAGATGGGTACATGGGTCCTCGTGAGAATTTCTCCCGCAATACTCGCATTTGTGTTGGTGCTCACAAGTTCTTGCTGAGTGAAATCCAAAGAAATTTTTGGGGGTTATTAGCTGTCTTGTTTGATGGACTTGTTTACGCCTATTGCTTGTCCGAAAAGCTGTATTCTGGGCAGAAATTTGTGAACATTAGCCTCTGGGACGTGTACTAAGATAAGTCTTGTCGGGCTCGAAGATTCTTTAGAACGTTGCGTCCATGCAACATGATGGATGAGTAAAGCATCCCTGATATTTATCATGGCTGGTTCAATCTCGAGAGGACCGTCAATAGGGCCAACTACCCCGTCCAAAGTAGAGATATTTTCTGTATAGGCCCAATTACAGAGGTGTTCCACGTCTCCTGTCTTTCCAGAGTGTAACGGCTATTAAGCCTAAGGATTCCTGTAGCCTACGCTGACTAGCGCAGGCACTGAATACAAGGCAATCTTCGGGAGGGATCTCGGAATACAAAGAGCTTAGAAGATTCTCAATGAACCTTCTGGAAGCACACTGAAGGTTCATGAGGAAAATAGGTGTATCAAGAATCTTCTAGGGTATTGTCGAGGGGTCCATGTTATTTTAGTCATAGGGAGAACCCTATAGAAGAGGATTATCTCAGTATATATATATTTGTAGTCTAGCTACAGGAACTCTCTCTCTAGAGAATTATAATTAATATACTGTACTTGCAAGATCGCCCAAGCATTTTATACTGAAACCGTGATACAGAGCTGCATTTTCAAACCTTGTGGCAATAGAATCTCTGTCCTGAAGGATACTTGCAGCTTTGGCTGGGCTAGGTGCTAGGACTACGATTCGTGATGGGACTTTCTATGCATCTATGACTAGTGTTGGATCAGAGACAAGCCGTTGGACTTTTTGTTGGTGCAGAAACAGTACGGTGTTATGTGCCTGTAATGGCTACAAGGCTGGTATTCTTCTGTAGCCAGTACTGGCAAGTACAGGCGTAAAACCACCAGGAATTGGGCAGGCGCAAAAGCCCTGCGGAAGATACTAGAACCTCTGAAGGAGGACCTAGAATAGTCCCTACATAAACAAGACTGAGACCGAGCCTCGGAGAAGCTGCTAGAAATAATAACTTTGGAGTAGCGACTGGAATCATCCAGAAGTGAGTTGACCTTGAAGGGAAGAACTTAGCATTTAATCAATCTATTTATACCTGGCTTATTATGTAGAACTTTGCTCTGCATAGTTGAATTATAAATATACCATCGTCCATACTGATGCTCTTTGCTCTCTATAGTTGATCTGTGAAAGTCCCTCATGTTTGCTATCCAGCCGGATCATAACCCGTTTATCCTCCTTGCTTTGATGCTGTAGGGGTGTAGGCCTTCTCGGGGCCGGAGAAGATCCACATTCAAGCTACTCACACTCTCGGCTGCTGCCTTAGCGGCCCAGGTCTTGCTCTTTTGAATACTACCATCGACTCTACTCACTGGGTTAACTATGCTGGTCCTATATATTTTCTCTCCTCGGATCGCCCGAGACACTCCGTCTAATATGAGAGCAAGAGCATCAACTCCGAGACCTGGGTATATATCTTCAATCTCATCTAGGTAAGAACAAACTATATTCAAGAGGTCCTGGTCGTTGACACAAGATTAGTCGTCTGTTTGTTTTTCTCCGGGGCCTTATCGTCTGTTTCTAGGTGGTGGTTTTTTGATAGGTGTGCTTTATCTACCGCGAATACTTGTTGTGAATACTCATCAGATGGATTCTGATCCGGTAGTTCAATAGTGTCAGGATGATTTCTCGAGATTAAGGGGCAGTCCGCGTCCGCATTCATAATAGCATCAGGTGAGACTGGAGTTGTTAGATCAATAAGAATCAAGTAGGACAGACGTTCCCGAAAACACTGGAACGATTTGGGGTCTGTTATGTCTATTAATCCGTTCACGCGTAGAAAAGTCTTGAATTGGTCGACTGTGTTAACATTTATCTCCTGATATCGACCCATACAAACATACCATATAAAACTAACTCATATTGATACTCAGGACTATGATTGATAGCAGAGATTGATAGTGTTTATGGCAGGGCGGAGTTCGGTAATTGTGGATAGGGAGAGGGATCAGAAACGTGTATATATATATATATATCGCACACTTAACTCCTCTTTAGTATGATGATGCTTCCGACTACATTCATAATGCCCATACCTACTCTGGGCTAATCACCTCTAATATATCGGTCTTATCTTCTAACTAATATCTTTTCTCCCCTTTTGTCTTAAATGACAGGTTATGATATTCTTCGTCTTGCTGGCCATCATCAAGCTCAGGGTTTTGGACAGATTAAATCTTTTATGGACTATATCTTGAAATGATCGACTTCGACTTGCGCCGAAAGTGTGGACGGCTACAGAGCAAGCGTGTGATGGCCCTGCACAATAGTATTGAGTACAGATGCAATGACATAGCAATTATTCAGTGTTGTATAGAGCTACCCTGTATGGAATGCACGGACCAGGTGTAAATTATGTACTATTATAGATCCGTAGATGTATTCCTTTTCTTCACTTCTTTAGTTTAGATTCTTATACATTTCAATCCTGATCTAAGTCTCTACTTGATTCGACATTGTCATCGCTTAGCTCGTGCTCTTTCCGGACACTCCCAAAGTGGGTGCCGTACTTTCAGTCGTTGAATGCGCAATGCTGCCCGAAGTTGTCTCTAATCCAGAAAAATCGCTGCTGGTGGAACTTCAAACTCTCTTCAAAGAGTCAAAGTTGAGGTAGTGCGACAAGGAGATAGTGTCGCTCTTCCTGACTTTAACATTATCCGATTCAACAGATCTATATACCAACCAACTTCCTCGTCTCGCCAAGTAGGAATGCGAGCTAGACCTTGACACCATGCCTCCGCTCCATATAGCGCTGTGATGATGGCACAGTCAAGGACAGCTATAATCACTGGTCCTGGTACTCCACTGCCCTAATCAGTATTTGTCGGTATATTACTTTAGGAATTTCTCAACTACAGTTATGTTTAATAAGTAACTGTAAGTCTATCGTAGTTGATAAGTGCCTGATTGATAGTTTGGGAACGGATGGCGTCACATTGTCTTCGCACTTGGACTTAAATATCCTGTTTGTGACATATTAGTTTATCCCTCCAGAATATACTACGATATAGAAGAACCATTGAACAACAGTAGATCCTACTAAATTATATTACCCTAGACAACCGACAGTATTAATCCAACATAAACCGTGTTATACATCATGCTTTCCTGCACCATCCTTTCATGTTTAGCTTAAACTACAGCTGGGAGTCAAGCAATCTGACATGTGGGGATGGGGAGATTTTGATACCTCTCACCTGCACTATGAGGCCTAATGTATCCAATTTTTTCCTCGCCTCACCATCTATTATCAAAAATTCTAAGTTGGCCTAGTCAAATGTTATGGTTTGACCGTTGTTTGAGTTTTTGCGGATACTTAAGTCTAATATTGAGAATTCTTACGATAAGGCTGCATGGGGTGGGAGATGAAGCTGAACGAGACGGCACTACTAGTCAGGAAGCTGAAGCGTTATTACAATTTTGTGACATCTGGGAATACGTGGCTGGGTAAGAAGTATTATGCCTAAGGACAAGTCACTAGTCTGTAGATTCACGAGGAGGATCATCTATTATAAATACCTGTTAGTAGTAGCTAGAGCTCTCTTTTCTCTTCATACAGCTTATTAAATCGATTTATTCATCACTAACTCGGTTTCCGTCACATCAAGGTTGATCTTGTGCTCTTCTATCAGCTGAACGAGTCTGTCTACTTCTTCCTCGACCGATGAGACAGCTTCGGCAGCAGTGCGTCCTATTCCGAAGATGGGAATATCCTAATATTTTTCCATTCCCGACTTGAACTGAAGCAGTAATACATGAGTAACATGAGTGGTCAAAGCGATGGGCCTTGGGAAACTCCACACCCCACAAATTTGTTGCAGGTTATCCTAACTCGATGACCAACACGAATATTCCTCCGGGTCATAAAAGACTCAATGAAACGACAGACTCCTAGGCCACCTCTGATCATGCATTCTACACAGTAAACGTTTTTGAAGTACCGCATCAAAAGCTCCTTGCACATCCATCGATAACATAGCTTCAACCTTTTTATTACTCCCTGTTGCCTCGGCATCATAAATGACACAGGAAACAAGATCAACAGCTGAATGTTCAGACAGTGCGTCAAAAAATTGTCGAACTGCTTGGTGCTCGGTTACTGACCATGACATTCTTTTTGAAGAGAGAAATTCTAATTATTTACCTAGGCAAGAGAGTAGAGAGACAGACTGCCACCCCTTTGAAGTGAGCAAATTTTGACCTGGGTTTGGAGCCAAGGCTACCTCTTCGACTAAAAATTCTGTTAAAAAGTGACCTTGCTACAGACAAGCTTGGAATACGTTCCTCATGTGCATGCCGATTGCACTACCATGGGATATGTGTGTGTGTTTAATTGTACTACTTGAGTCTATGACTATCTAGCACATTGGGCTCCTCTCTGACCCAGGCCACACCTTGTACAGTGCTCCTATCCTCTTTTGTTACTTGAAAGATCATTGATATATTCCCCTTGATGAATAGCCATTCAGCTCAGTATTTACCCGTGGAATTCGGCCGCCTTTTCCACAGAACCTTCTACCCAAAAAAAAAAAAAAAAAAAAAAAAAAAGGTAGCAATGGAAACTGCGTGCGCGGGAAAGAATCTCAAAAAACCTGCAGCCCCAGCCAGGCGAGGCCTAGACACCGTGACCACATGAGGTGCGCATATTCATCTATATCTCCCTTCTTTGTAACAGTCGAGGTCGACTTGATCCAATCCACCATCTCCGTATCGGGTGCTGGGTACACTCCGGAAGCTCATCGGATGGCTTTTCCTCCATGATTAAGAGTTGGTGATGAGTAGGGCTCCGACCCTACCAGCTGGTCTGATCGTGGTTAGCTTCATGATAATGGTGATAGGGGAATGTGTTGAGAGATGAAGACGATACAGACCGCAAAAGCGATTGGGAATCCTCTTCGAAGTGAGGACTTTGTTACTCAATCTCGGCTCTGCAGACTCTACAGTGAGAGCTGGAGGTTCGTAGGGGACACCACTGACAGGTGTTGAGAATAGTCCCCCACTACCATGGGATATGTTTGCTTACCTAGAGCAGTCGACCCTCTGTAAACACCTAACGAAGGAAAGTTTCGAAGCCTTTGATTATCCAAGCATGCCTTCGTCATATATGCACGCGAGCATCACGAAAAACGTGGACTCTCGATAGATTTGAACTAGTGATCTCCTGTCTCAAGTGGAATAGGCGTCAGATAAATCCATACTTTACTTGAGAGACTAGCTTTAATAGTACACCATTATACAACTTGACTCGGTGAATAAACCTCACTGCGTGATGCGATGCTTAAACCATAGATATGTTAAGCATGTGCCTATCCACCGCTGCAATTTTCTCAAAAAAATGTACGAGTTTTCAATGACGAGGTAAAGCGACGTAGAAAATTTGAAAGTATTTACTAATAACGGAATAATGAAACGAGTATAGGATGTGTAGAGTGTAAAAAAAATAGGTATTTGACGCGCCCCAGAATACAACCCAACCAGTGTGAACCTAATTTAAAGAACTCTACTCCCGAAAAGCAAAAAAAGTCCAATTTCCAGAGAAAACTTCCTGCACAGGATTATAGAAATAATGCATCTTTGCACCTTCCGCATATTAAATAGATGGGTATCCCTTTTTGGACAAAGTTGAACTACTGTACTTGTCACTCTCCCCAATACTAAGGCCACGGCTCCTCTCCCTTTCTCCTCGCTTAACTCGTTCACGATTCTTCTTATCTTTTTCTGCACTGGCCAAGCGGACCTTTTCCTTCATACTCTCAACCCACTCATGATCCTGATCACTGATAGTATTCTTTTTGCCAGTTGGTCCTGCAAGGCCTAGGTTGAAATCCTCTTCAACCCAGCTCATACGGGAACTTCTCCCACTAACTGTAGAGATAATCGTTCCACTAGAGCTAGCAGCGGAAGGTGGCGTGTCCCAAGGAGTATGTTTGATTGAAGGAATAGGTGTACTGGGGCACTGGATTTTACTAATGGAAGTCTGACTCTCAGAGCACTCTGAGGTATTTTTCAACCCCAAGTTCCGACTTTTAGTGACATTAGACCCTCCTCTTCCTAACTGATCTGCGAAGTTTTTTGGTTTTGGCTGTAACTGAGAGCGCAGAGTCGCTTGAATATTGGAGATAGATGTTATTGAACCTGAAGATATAGCTCTCGGTGGAATATCATGGATCTTGACCGTATCTGTTACGTTGCGACGACCATGATGTGACGCATATTCTTTTAGGTATTCACCTAGATCTGCCCATCCACCCCCGACGCGAACCATTACCCGCTCACCACGCTCACCAACAAGTCGAACAAGGAGCTTAATAGGTATCCCACCATCAGAGCGAGATAGATGGTAGACTCTTATTTCTGAATTGCTATTTTGGTGCCTTGGTCGTGAATTCCCTTTAGCGTATGCCGGAGCTAGGGTAAAAGATGGTGTTGTGGATCGAGCGTGGGAACTGGTATTATTTAAATTTGAGATCGAACGTGAGGAAAGGATAGTTGATTTTCGAGTTTTTCTTGGAAGCAAAACTTCGGAATTAAAACGTGAAGAATTAGACTCAGTATCCAGCATAATACGAGCAGGAATAGATTCTAATAGCGATGAAATTTGTTGTTGAATCTTTTCGTCTGTATTCAGTTTGCAAATCCTAGTTGGGGTGGCTCTGTCAGTTGATAAATCAAGATTTGCAAACGTGGGGGCTTCTGAGACTGTAGAAGCTGCAGATCGATCTGGGCCGAACGAAACTGCTCGAGGTCTTTGAGCACGCATTAATGGAGAATTAGGCGGACTCGTGTCATAAAGACTTGAGGGTTGTTCAGTATGTGTTATTATTAGTGATTTTATCTCACTGTCAAAATTTGATTCATCTTTTATATTTTTAGGTTCTTGAGATATCTCGGAAGGCTGAGCAGTCTCATTAAGCATACTTTTCGTTGAAATTGGCTCTTCTGAACATGTGAAATGCTGACAGGGATTTGAGCTTGATACGTGAAGGTTTCTAGTACGGTTTAAAAATTTGTTGCTTTTGAATATATGCTTTCCAAAATTTAATACACTATGCTGCGTATCAGTATCAATAGAATCGCAAGCTTCACAAGTGCCATCCAGCTGAGTGGATTTCGGAGTCTTGAGATGAGTTTCCTCGGGAACGGGCGACATTTTTCCAGTGACTAGAGTATGGATTGCACAATTTGATAGTCCTTGAAGAGTCAAACTATTTAATGTGAATTCGCTTGAAGAATCTGAAAAGTTTTGTTAAGGATTTAAGAAAATTAATTTACGGGCTAAAACTTACTTTTTGGTACGGTTTGTTTATCAATTAAATTCTCAGAGGGACACTGAACATCTAGATTGGAAGAACACTTGTGTGAAGAAATTTTGCCGCCACGATATCTGATAGAGATTACCGGCTGAGGTGGTTTTACTAGGTATATGCCTGGCAAACCTCGGTCTAGTTCGAGTACGCGGTCCATGGTTGAGATCTCACAAACGGTAGAGATATCAAGGCCTGAGTGTATTGAAGAAATAAATAATGTGTTATAAGTATAACATGTGCTACCGTCAAGAGGGAATTGAAGGGAATATTCCGCGCCTGCAGCGCCATAGAAAACAGCGCTAGCCGAAGGAAGCGGCGAGCCAGTAGGCATTCCATTTATAGTGCTGTTGGTGATCGGTGAGTGACGATAGTTTTGACTCGCTTCCAAACTGTCATTCATATAATTAGACGAGATTAAAGAGTGGTGTGAGATTATTGAATTACGATACCTCTTCTGATTGATTCGAGCCCAATTCGTCATTACCTCCTCAAAATCCGAAGTAATAGGGCTCTTGCGAAATTTCGAATCATCGCAAATATTTGCTTTGATTGCGAGTTTGCTTGAGCTGCAATAGTTTGAAGGAACAGGAGTTGATATTTTCGTGAAAGCTTCATCTTCATCTGAATTCTCTCTAATCGGGAGACTCGGTGACGAATTTGATGAAGAAATAGGTTTGGTAGAGCCTGTCGTGATGTTTAAATTATACTTCTTTGGACTTTTGGCTCGATAAGTTGAACAATTCTTACTTAACTCGGTGACACCAGATTCTACGATATTCGGTATACACTCTGTCATCGTATATAGGTTAACCTGCTCGCTGAATTTAGCAGGGGGAGTAGTAGTTTGGCATAATTGTTTGCAATTTAAACTAGTGCCACTCTCGTTCGAATTGAGCTGAGGGACATCTCTGTCGTTAATCAAATCTATTTTGGATTCACTATTTTCGCTGTCAAGCTTTGAACTATATTGATCAGATGATGAGTACTGAAGGTTCTCCTCAGACGTAGCGCTTAAGTTAACGTTTGGAGCTATTTCAGAAACATCATCTTGTTGGCTGACTGAGGACTTTTCTTCGTCAGGAGCAGCTCCAATCTCTTTAATTGGAAGGGTTTGGAGTAAATAGGATGTTGGTTGATTAATATCGTCTGTTTTATCGCATATTTCTGAACCAATGGATATTTCTCTCAGCTCCACATTGTTTGTATCTAATATTTCATGGCTGATTTCGTTACCGGTGATTATCGAAGGGGAAACTACTTTTGGGTCTAACGTGCATGATGACGGCCGAGCTAGAGGGGCATCCGCAGATATTTTAATTTGTGGATGATTTTTGACACCATCCTGAGCTCCAAGTATATGACAGCTAAAAGATTTTTCTTCCTGCGCAATTACAATCTGCTTTTTATTCTCTTCTAACTTTTCCCTATCAGTAATTTTGCTTCGTGATATTTCATACTCATTCCATTCTCCCTCGGTTATTTTACGATCACCCACAACAACCCATTCGCCATATCCCCGCTCAAGAATTTCCATCCTTAAAATCCAAGAGCCAGGAAGAGTTTCTGGTCTGCCTTCAAGGGTATCTAGCATGAAGTCTAGATTTTTGCCAATCTTAGAGATTTTATCCCGTAATATGCATCGGATTAGATCGAAAGTTTCCCTTGATAATGGCTGACGGAAGTTACCTGTTTCGTGAATTCGTGAAGATTTTCCAATAGCATTCCAGCCGCTTTTGAGGGCCGTTTCTGCTTCTTCAAAATCTAACATTAACTTTGGAATACTTTGTAATATAAATATTCTAATTCTCCATATATCTAACAGACGCATCAACTTACTCAGATTAGGCAATGTTTGTAGTACTACTGCCGTAACCATTGCTGTGAAGTCATCCATATTGTTGTACGATATCGTAGTAATACTGCTTAGCCTTGCGTTGGAGCAAGATGAGGAGGGACGCGATCTAACCGTAAGATGTGTATCAAGGACGTGGCGTTTAATCTCATCTACATTGAGATTATCCAATTCCGATTGTATATCATTGATACGAGCTTCGTATGATGAAAGTCTTGCAGTTTGGTTATTAGACATAGTATTAAAATTTGTATTCATATCTTCCTGGTAGATTTGGTCTCTTTCCCTTTCTGGAGAAGCCTCGTCAGTATTTCCTTCAGGTGATAGTTCGAATCCTGTTGGGCCATCTTTTTTGGACCATGACCAGCCTGATAATTCTACTATCCATTCTTGAATTTTTTTGGATGTTGCAGCGGCTCGTATACCAAATGCGCGGTCGTTTTGAGAGGCTGCCTCTATACTAGCTTTGAGTTGGCCGGATGGACTCGTGATTGACTTAAAGGTTGTGGTGGGAGTCAAGTCAGAAAGAAGATTATCTGAAGCAACACGTTGTCGAGGTAAGAGACGTGAAGGATTTTGAGGCAGCTTGGGTGATTTTATCCTAGAGGTTGCGGTTGATGGCAGCTGATCCATGATTTGTGCTGTTGGGTTTAATCCTTAGTATCTTGGCGGGAAACTTGCATTTTAAAGGTTAGTAGAGAGTGTAATAGAATTCATAAACGCGGGAGAAATTTCTTCATGCTGCGAGAAAGAATAATCCGAGTCAAATTCTGGTCTTTTGGCAGGTTCTTTGATTGATACATCATCTACTTCGCCACATGTAGTAGAAAATATTAAGTCAGAGCGCACATGTATGAGGTGTATGATCATGAGGTTCATGAAAATCGAAGGTGGTCTTGCTTGTTTGGTTTGATGTAGAGAGCAGTAACGAAGTTGATGATGCGGATTATACAGATGGGTTATGGAAATCAAGGGAAGTAACGACGATGATTGAGATGGCATGATGGCCCTGGCATATTAAGGCTGTAATTACTACAAGAATAGCTCAAAAGCGCTGTGGAGACATTGAGAAACATATGATCATGTCATCATACCTAGAGACGAGTTAGCCTAAAGCGGAAGCAACATTTTCCGGTCCGCTTTATTACCCGCGCACTGAAGATCCCGACAATACCATCCACATTAGGATAAAGCAGGGCAGGGGTCACACGAATTAGCCGGGGGTGTGATAGTTGAGTGAAGACAAAGACGTTTTAGTTGGTTAAAGCTGTCAAGAGCGAAACCCTAATGTATGGAAGTTTTAAATTAATTTGACCGAAATGGGTCATTGGATAGCTGATCAGTATGAACTTGGATCACAGCCAAACCCAATCTGTAGAGTCTAGCAACTAACAATCCATTGCCAGACAAATAGCAGTTTAAACCGATTTCTGCCTGTAATTTTTCAGACCACACATCACTGCTGACGGCCAATATGCATAATTAGTTAAGCGACCACAAAGGTTTCTATCCATCCGTGCTAAGCAACTTAGTTAAGCTATTTTACATTCCAACAGTCAATGGTCCAAGCATGATATACGTCGGTTATTCTAATTCCAAATATGCTCTTTAACCTAATTCTGTATAGCAATGTCCTATTTCACGACTATTTCGGGGTCTCGCTCTTAACTTACCCCGAAGCCGTGTCAGACTTGGTCAAAGAATCTCAATTCAAAGGACCCTCAGATCTGATCCCCAATTCCATAATGCGTCTAGAGCGCATATGTCAGGGTTGTGCTTGGAAGCAGCCCAATCTTCCTCAAATAACACAACTGTGACTCCACAGAATTTGACTGAAAAAATCGTTCAGAGACATTCTGTAGGATTAGATGAAGGAAAGATTCTCAGGTCTGGAGACTATGTCACAATCTCACCTCATCACTGCATGACACACGATAACTCATGGCCAGTTGCGCTTAAATTTCTATCCATTGGGGCGACGAAGATTTATGACCCGAATCAAATTGTTATGACTCTAGATCATGATGTACAGAACAAAAGTGAGGTCAATCTTCTGAAGTACAAGCAGATAGAGGAATTCGCGAAAAGCCAGAAAGTTGATTTCTACCCTGCTGGTCGGGGAATTGGGCACCAGATTATGATAGAAGAAGGATACGCTTGGCCTGGCACAATGACTGTCGCCAGTGATAGCCATAGTAATATGTACGGAGGCGTAGGGTGCTTGGGGACAGCAATAGTGAGGACAGATGCAGCAAGCATATGGGCGACAGGACAGACATGGTGGCAGATTCCGCCAGTTGCCAAGATAACTTTTACTGGTATTCTACCGAAAGGAGTAACTGGGAAAGATGTTATTATCGCACTTTGCGGGCTATTTAATGGAGATGAAGTATTAAATCACGCTCTTGAATTTACCGGATCTGAACAGACCATGAGAAGCCTCCCAGTGGATGATAGGCTTACCATTGCGAATATGACTACCGAGTGGGGCGCCCTCACTGGACTATTCCCTATTGATTCCACCTTGCAGGCCTGGCTACGAGCAAAGGCCACAGCGGCAGCGCTTTACGATAGAAAAGACTCCAATTTTACTCATTCAAAGATAGAAAATATAAAAAACACGCAGCTAGTGGCCGACAAAGGAGCTACATATGCGAAATCCCTCTTCCTAAATCTTTCTACTTTATCACCGTTTGTATCAGGGCCAAACTCAGTAAAAATTGCAAATTGTCTACGAGACTTAGACGCCCAAGACATTAAGATTGATAAGGCATACTTAGTCTCTTGTACAAACTCTCGCGCCTCTGATATAGCAGCAGCAGCTAAGGTTTTCAGAGATGCGAAAGATAACGGGACACCAGCTAAAATATCTCCAGATGTTGAGTTTTATATCGCAGCAGCATCAGTACCCGAGAAAGAAGCAGCAGAGGAAGCAGGCGATTGGCAGATTCTACTTGATGCAGGCGCGAAGCCACTACCAGCTGGATGCGGGCCTTGTATTGGTCTCGGTGCAGGGCTCTTGAAATCTGGAGAAGTTGGAATCAGTGCGAGCAACCGGAATTTTAAAGGCAGAATGGGTTCTCCAGACGCAAAGGCATACCTTGCTAGCCCTGAAGTTGTCGCTGCTAGTGCAATGAGAGGCAAAATATGCGGACCCGGATGGTACGAAATGCCTCCAGGGGTTAAGAAAGTTATTCTCGGAGAAGGAAATGGAAATTTTATTGAGGATAAAGCAATCAGTGTTCAGGAAGCGCTAGATAAACTAGTGACTGAAGTTGACTCACTTATATTTCACGCGGAAAAGGACCTTGATAAAATTAAAAATGAGCAAACCATCGAGCCGAAACCACTGACAAAAATCTTGCCCGGGTTTCCTGAAAGACTCGAGGGTGAAATCATCTTCTGTGACGCAGATAACGTCAATACGGACGGTATTTATCCCGGGAAGTATACTTATCAAGACAATATTCCCGAGGAAAAGATGGCCGAAGTGTGCATGGAAAATTATGACCCGACATTTAGCTCTATTGTCCGTTCTGGAGACATTCTAGTCTCTGGTTTCAATTTTGGCTGTGGTAGTTCCAGGGAGCAAGCTGCCACGGCTATTCTAGCCAAGAAAATTCCTCTCGTCGTATGCGGAAGTTTTGCCAGTATCTTTGCAAGAAACAGTATCAACAATGCCCTCATGGGTGCTGAATTCCCTCAATTAATTCATCGTCTACGACAGTATTATTCTGGGGTGAAAGCCTCAAGCGGTGCAGCAGGCTCGCTACAATCAAGCCCGACGCATGAAAATTCTGGCAAGAAAATCCTGACCCGTAGGACAGGATGGATGTTAAATTGGGATTTGCAGCGCAGTACTATCACAGTTACCGAGCCAGACGGGAAGTTGTGGAACCAAAATGTTGGTGAAATGCCACCGAATGTGCAGGAGATTATAGCCCGTGGTGGCCTTGAAAAGTGGGTCAAAAGTAAGTTGAACTAATTACAATGACATAAAATAAAAAAGCTACCTAGGTATTCGAGTTAATTTTGATACACACGTGAATCTAGGTATTTAAACCAGTGAAGCTTGCAGAATTACTATAAAAATCAATGCTTACCAGCTGTTGTGCATGGAATTTGATCATATTTTCAACTCATTTAATTATAGTTCTTGACACCTTGCATCGAGCCTAACTCACCCGGCTGGCTGGTCGGCGCGGGGCGGGGCGAGGCAAGGTTTCGTATTCCTAGGATGTTCCATGGATAAGTGGCAACGTTTTAAGACAGGGGCTGAGACTTAATGCCCGTCAGCAGCACACCCTACGACTTCCCGGTTATGAGCTATGCGGGTTCGCAGCTCACTATGAGTCATTCAAGCTAGTCAAGAATATCTTTTTTTTTTTTTTTAATAATAACATATTTTGCCACCCTCCAAGGTGTGGCGAATAGTGCAGTGGTGCACAACTCGGGCCATTCTCAAGAAGAATCTGGTTGGCTTGATTCTAACCCCACATCAGCTGCTTGAGAGGCGTGTCGTTGTCAGCGGAACCAAAAAACCGCCTGTTCTAGGGATGATGTTTTACATGTGGAAAACAAAATCACGTTGTGGTAGCTGCATGGCTTTCACGCTTTTACCTGTGATGGGTATGCACGGAAGAAGTTATACGCCGTAAGGGCTAACCTCGAGTGATATCTGCAAATGAAATCTGAGTATCAATGTTTAAAACGTCAAATTAAGTCATCCTACTCAGTATACATATCTCCCGAGGGTGACTATTTTCTACACCCATCAGTTGTGTCCCCTACGAACTTCCAGCTCTCACTGTTGAGTCTGCAGAGCCGAGATTGACTAATAAAGTCCTCACTTCAAAGGGGATTCCCAATCGCTTTCGCGGTCTGTATCGTCTTCATCTCTCAACACATTCCCCTATCACCATTATCATGAAGCTAACCACGATCAGACCAGCTGGTAGGGTCGGAGCCCTACTCATCACCAACTCTTAATCATGGAGGAAAAGCCATCCGATGAGCTTCCGGAGCGTACCTAGCACCCAATACGGCGATGATGGATTGGATCAGGATGGCCTCTAATGTTACAAAGAAGGGAAATATAGATGAACATGCGCACCTCATGTGGTCCCGGTGTCTAGGCCTCTTTTTTTTTTTTTTGCATCAGATTTTAATTGCGTATGCAGCTATCTAGCTATGACACAATATCAAAGAAAAGTACAGAATAAATGATTCAACTCAAAGGAAGAGCACTTATGCCTCATATTTCATTTGCAAGTACCACTGCGAAGTTATGGTGGCTTTTTCTTCACCCCAAGTCAACCCTCATCCGTGAATACCCACCCAGGGGAACATCTCAAAAACCCTGAGTTATCCAGACATGCCTCCATCATCTTTCAACTTTTCTCCGCGCGGTATGTGATCTGAGGTGTCTCTTTCCCAAGTGGAGTAGGTGTCCAGGCTACTCAAACCATACCAGAGAACACCACCAGGAGGCGGACCACGTCACCTTCCATCGTTGGCTTGTTTTTATAGTGTCAGCTGCACTCTGGTGTCTAGGCCTCGCCTGGCTGGGGCATTAGGTTTTTTGAAACCTTTTCCCGCGCACGCAATTTCCATTCCTACCTATTTTATCTTTTGGGGGGCAGAAGATTCCGTGGAAAAAGTGGCTGAATTTCACGGGTAAATACTAAGCTTAATGGCTGTTTATCAGGGGCAATATATCAATGATCTTACAAGTACAGTGTCTCTAGGTTCCAAAATGTTAGGCTTGAAACTGGGTTGTTTAAGGGATTAGCCCTGTAGGCGCAGTTGGGCTAGCTCGCAATAGGTTAGACTGTCTCTATTTATTACCCCGCTCGCCATGAAGCGTAGTCCAATCGTCTAATTCTAACAATCGCTTGGAGAAACACGTATTCAACAACACTTTTGACTACCTGACCTACACAGCCATTGAAACTGCCCTGAGACGGGAGACTGGCATTCCACCTGCACAAATTCTGCTCGAGGAACGCAGGCTCAAGACTGCTGCACGAATCCGAAGACTATATGAGCACCATCCGCTTCGACTTCGGGCCACCGAAAGCACCGACAGCGCTTGCCATCGACTCGGACTAAAGACATGCAACAAAACCAGACTTGGTCTGGATAGAGTTCATGATTCGAGGGTCCAGAGGATGTACCGACTTCTGCCAGAGGCTGAACTTCTTCCACCGCTCCACCGCTCCGACCTCCAGTACCCCCTCAGTCGAGTCCTTGCTGGACAAACAAGAAAGAGGCTGCTAATTTTATAAGAGAGTGGCTATAGACACTCCCACCCGATTGTCTCTGCGTATACAGTGATGGTTCTGGGGCGTCTACCGACAGAGTGTCATGGGCCTTTGTTACTTTTATCAGTAGCACAGGCACGACAATCGAGCAAAGCGGCTCAGGCAAAATCACCAATGCGGAGGTTCATGGAGCTTTGGCTGCTCTAGAAGCAATCACTGCTAGCAATCGAGATTGAGGACGTAGCGCCATCTACATCCTGCTCGACAATTCTGCGGCTGTTCAGGCTTTACTGGTGGGAACGACGGGCTCATCATCCTAGCGAATCCAAAAGTTCGTGAAAATGGCCGCGAGATCAGCCGCACCTGTAAAAATATGATGGATCTCGGGCGACGAAGGGCTAGCAGGAAATAAAATCGCCAATGAACTCGCTCGAAGAGAGCTTAACTCGCCGGACAACTCTAGGACGACACATGGTGTGATGACCCTTGCCTCATCTGGACGGAAATCCCGTGAACTGGCCAGGCAGATGTTGACGGACTGGTGGCACTCGAATCACCCCAAACACTACGCCGACCTTGGACTCGAGATGTGGCTCAAGAAACCGCCAGAGCTAGCGCTACCTAGAGCGGTCTACGCCTGCTTAATCGCCGCTCGAACTGGACATGGGGACTTTGTGACATATCATCGCCGCTTCAACCACACCGACGCTACACTTAACTGCGAGTGTGGGAGGGAAAATCAATTGGTCACCTTGTCCAGTGTCGAAAAGCACTGGCAAGATGGCGGCTGAAAAGCGGAAAGCGAAGGACGCCTGCTCTGGAAACAATGCCCGGATCAAGTGGATGGCAGCTGTTCAGGGACTACGTCCAGGAGAGCGGGATTGACGCGGAGGCTAGTCGGGGGACGGCAGGGATACCTGTGACTCTGAGGTGATAGATCAAAGGTCTAGGTGGTTTGGCATGGACAGAGAGATTAGATTCGAGGCTCAGGCGCGTGGTGGCTGAGGCGGAACAGTGGAAGGGAGATTGTTGAAGTTTTTCTTTTGTAATGCGGGATTTCGCGGGAAAGTTTTTGTTTTGTTTTCAATTCTGGGCTGCCGAATTCGTCATGGTTCAACACATAGATGCATTTTGGCATTGTTCCGGTCATTTAGGTGGGACGAGGCATTTGTACTGCACGGTAGTTAACCTGATCCGGCCCGACCCCACTCGTGCTCAAGCTCCAGTAGGAGTTCGACGGTAGTTACTTCACCTAGCACGTTAATGACCAAAAAAAACGCACAATTCAAGAAATTCGAAAATTTATTTTTTTCCCTCTTTCCTCCCTTCTCGACCTCGTCGCATCCATCTCTGAATTGTGATCGAGCTCAGGCATTTTTACCATGCCTCCAGTTCGCAAAAAGCGTCCCAACGCCAAGTTGGACAACACGAGAGTCCACCCGAGGGCTCTCGAACAATTACCTTGCCTTGTCCAGTCTCCGAAATGCGCGGAGATGAGCAAGGTCTCAACTAAAGGGAAGGAAACAGCCCTCCCCGCCGTCGCTGAACCCGATACTGACATGATCGGGTCAGTTGAAACTGTTGAGGAAATTCCTCAACCACCCTCCGTCCCCCACGGAATTGGAGAATCGTCAAAATCTCCTCCGACCGCGTCAATACCGTCGGAGAACGCTGCACCTCTATCAGCACCAAAACCAACGTCGCAGCCAAAAGCTGCGTCGAAAGCAGAATGCCCTCCTGAGCTCCGACCAATTGTCGAAGCCGAACAACGACGCGCCGCCGAAATAGCGGCAAATCTAGCCCTCTGCTCCGCCGCCATCTCTGGCGTCGAAGCCACCCTTCTTCCTTTGACCAACGGGTCAAACAGACAATTTGTAGACTCGATGAGAGTCTACCTACGCGCCGCCATTGCGCAATACATGGCCACAGGCCCGTGGCCGGGCCCGGCCACTACGCCACCCGTCCTCCCTCCTCGCCCGGCAAACCCTCCCCCAAGGGCTCCCGACGCCAGGAGCATACAAATTTCTGCCGTCACAGTGCTGCCCGTAAAAAGCACCTGGGCTACGGTGGCCAGATACGGATTGCGACATAAAGCAGTCCCAACTGTAAAGGCTGTGCCGAAACCTGCGGCAAAGGTCACGAAAGCGAAAGTCGACAAACGACTATTCCTTCGCCTAGAAAAGGAGCACCCGTGGCGCCAGCTTTCGCCTGCTGGCCTACAGCAACAACTACAGAGGGAGCTAGGTTGCTTCTTGAGTGACGCCTGCTCTATATTCCGTGATAGAACCGGCTTTGCGATTCTGACAGGGAATGAAAATAAAATGGAAGAGCTCCTAGATGCAGCACCAAAGTTTTCGGACTTCGACGCCAAGCTCGAGGAAGCCTCCAACCTTGTCGCCTTTCGGATCGCGAATGTTCCGGCGACCATAAAAACAATCGACTGTACTTATACGGTCAATGCGGATTGGATCTCATTGGAGATCTACCGAAAAACACAAAAGCTTCCATACAAGGTGCTACCGCACGGGACATGCCGTCCTGGAGCGCCGCACAGAAATTGGAAAGCCCTTTTCGACCGGAACAACGCCCCTCGCCCGGACTTCCGCATTCTCGAAGAGGCTGGTATGGCTACCATTCACATGCCACGACTACAAATTGAACAGTGCAAACGCTGTTTGGGCTTCCACACCACCCGTGCTTGCTCCCGCGCTCCAGCCTGCCGGAACTGCGGATCTAACATGCACTCGGAAGTCAAGTGCAAGGCCCTCACTAAGTGTCGTAACTGTGGGGGACCTCACCGATCGGATTCTCGGGCCTGCCAAGTCAGACCCAAAAAATCCGGACCGGTGACCAAAGAGCAGCTCGCGTGGATCCGCCACATAGAATAAGGGGAGTTCTCAAAGGTGGCTCGAGCACGAGCAGCAGCAAAAAAGGCCGAAGAGGCGATCATCGCCGCTGCGAAGGACGTCTCAATGGCCGAGGCTACAGGTTTCGGAGCCCTGGAAGCCGAAGAAGAAGTTTGAGGACACAGCAACCTCGACGATGTCCCCTTTGGGGCATCTACTAACTATTAGCAGGATACCGGCTGGATAAAAGGTACCTGCTAACTTATCTCTTGCTCTTAGCGGAGAATGAGTAAATTTGTCATTTGGAAGGTGTGACGGACGACAGAATGTGTGAGGAGCGCATTTACTGGGTTCAATATGGAGGAATCTTCTTGTATTCGGAGTTGTTTTGATTTTCTTGATTTTTCGTTTCTGTTTAATCAGCTGCACTTTTGGTAGCGATTTACAAGGTTGGAACGAGTTAGGCTGTTGGAAAAGTTACAGGGAACCCTGCCGGATCCGCCAGTCCTTGACCCAATGTGGATAAAGAGCTTTAGCTAAGGACCAAAAGTAATAAAAAAAAGTACGCCATAAGCCAAGACCCAGGCTTTGTATATTATGACTTAATTTCCTGCTTGCGGATAAACGCAGCATCGTAAATTTGTAGTGACTGACGGCTGGTAATAAATGGGGCAAGCTCCTGTTTGCAATTGGGGTGACGTCTTTATCGGTCGTTGAGGCGAGATGATGTGTGGTTAGAAAGAGGTTGAGGACTCAGTGGATAATGGTGAGTGCTGTATGATTGAGAAGTCGTCAAATGGAGATATGTATGACGCCCTGATAGTTTTAGTGGCCACGTATACGTCGGTCTCCAACCGCCAGTAGGCCGATACAACATCACTCCTAGGATTCCAACGACCAGCTCCAAACAGAAATGACTCTTTGGTTTGTGACAAATCACGATTCGAAAAGAGTTGTTGTTACGGGATTAATCCCTTGTGTTTGTACTGTCTGCGTCAGTACGGCAGGGATGGAGTATAGGGCCTAGCTAGCTACGGGGGCTACCAATGTTGCGGTCTGAATTTGGTTGCTTAGCAACATAGATTGTTATGAACGGTGCTGATAATTATAATTCCCCGTGTATACAGCGACAAGTAGGAAATATTCTTTCTCTAGCTTTCATTAATTAATTGATTTTATTCTGGACTTGCTCTGTTTTGTATTGACAACAATTGATCCGGCGACAGTCATAGATGTTGGTGTTTATACGAAATTCTTGGGCTGTAGACGACCAGGGACAGGAGACTTTGTGTTAATAACTTAATTTGAACAGTTGATGAATTCCTATATACATATATATATTCTCGTATCCTTCTAGACACTTTTCTCTTTAGTTTAGAATCTTATAGCTTGACCCCACGCTAGTTTTTGAGCACTCATAATTTGCCTTTGTCCCTTATGTTTCTACGATATGCTTGAGATTACTTTTGGCTTCGATTCGGTTGTGATTCTTCTTGGCCATCGTAGATATGTAAAACATACCGAGTGATTACGCCGGCATCACAGGAAATTGAAGAAACTGTCTTTGCTGGCTAACTGATCTGTAGATTGTACGGTATCTTACTGACATTGGTATGATTGTGAATGACGAATGTAATTTGAGTGCTGTCATGAGGTCAGTAAATCTATTATATAACTATGTGGCTGAATACAATGTGAGTTAAAAAAAAAGAAGTCGGTAAATAAAGTGAATAAACGGGTTTCTCGGTATACATATATGATTGTCAGCCTTTCCTCTACTTCAAACGCCACGGTAATGGGGCCAAGCCAGACCCCTGTCAAAGTCCCAACGACTACCTGAACACCGCAGGTATATAGAAAAATTCAAGATGCACAAACATGAAGCATTTCCCGACATGATACGAAGTTAAATAAAAAATAAAGTCAGAAGGGTGTTGATATAACAAAGGTCATAAACTAAAAGCCTATTAGTTCACCTATATTTATGAGAGTACTCTTGTAAGTAGTTCGAACTATCGTTCAGAAGAATTGGGTATTCATGGTTGATTCGTGTTATTTTGGTTTGATGCTATGGAATTGCTATCAATCTTGTATTCGAATAAAGCGTTATCTGTTGGAAAAGATTCACGTTGTAACTAATCGATAACAAATGGTTCTATCTCTCTCTTTCCTTTCTAGTAGGAAATCTACGATATAACGGTACTACAAGAGCGCACAGACCCACATGTTACATAAACAACATACAAATAAAGCATATTTACCGACATTATTCAAATGTCAGAATTCATAAATCAAGCATAATTGAACGCAATGCAAGAACTGTTGACTCAAAATAAACCCAGGTAAATGAATAATTCCGACAGTTTGAGAATAACGGCTTGATTATCGATGAATGATTATAAGTCTTGATCATTTGTATCGATGGTTAATGCTGCTTAGTTTGTGCTCGCCAATGCAGAAGGCAAGGTCTTTCTTTCACTCTAGTTTCTTAGTCTAGCACCCTTTAATTACTCTACACTTTTTTATCTCGTACCTTTACTCTAGTCATTGGATTGGAAAAGTTTTGAAATATTTAGTACGTCTTAATCTAGTCTAGAATGATCATGTAGGTGTTAGCCATCTCCTAAGGAGCCCCTCTTGGCCACACGTAAGGGTAAATTCTAGAATTGAAGTACCGCATCTAAGAGTGACCTTGATTCTTTCTGCAACCCAGGGCATACCTGATATTCCGAATACGGATCGGACTCGCTTATCGTCTAATAATTGCTTTCGCATTTCAAAAGTCTTCAATTGTTTTTTTGTGAAGGAGAAGCGCAATCGCCCAAAACCATGGCTCGTGAGAATCTTTATCTTCCGTAAATTTTCTATGATGCATATGATCCAATAGATCCGATAGATCCGATAGATATAGTAGTCTGCACCAAATAATGTAGAGCTCTTGTAATTATTATTTCGTTTTCATCACTTACTAGGGTACGTTCTGTGAGCTTGTATTATTACCTTCGAGAGGCGGTAGAGCTTTCATCTAACATACCTAAGGTCCGGCCGGCGGGATTTCGTAGATAATTGAAAAATACTTACAAACCATGCATATAAACATAGTGCTCTGTGGATCCGTAGACTCTTGATTAAGAAATCCTAGTAAGTTTGAGTCTTTCTTCCACTATCCAAGGCAGTAATATAGCCTTGACAAGTTGTAGGATACTGCCATAAATTTTTGCTTGCAATACCGGTAGACTTTCGTATTAGTGCATAGCCATAAGAATCATTGGCTTCCTTTTCCTGACTTTTAAATAACATATGATATTTTGAAGAAATTCAATTCTCTCCTCCCAAAACACCTGAAGGCCTTTACTGCACCGCTTAGTCTATTAGATAAGATCTACTTAAGATCTAAAGCCCACAATAAGGCTCCTAAGACCGGAAAGGATATATTACATTCGTATCTGTCATATTATGTATTGAAAAAACCGTAGCGGAAGACTTTATCAATACGTTCGTGATGATTGCCTTACTTTTGAGCGTTGCATTTGAGCAAGCTTAGCTTGCCTTCTCGCTTGATTCATACTTGTACCGACTTCTTCTTCGACCTTTGACACCATGCCTTTTGGTATGACTTCGTCAAGAACGAATGAGCCGAGTTTTCCTTGTCTCCACTTTTGAATTATCCACAACGCAGCTGCCTCAATATCTGGCACGTTGCCTTTTTTCAACTTTCCACACTTTCGGCATACTGCTTCCAAGAGCTCCTCAATATCGTTGGTTGGTGCGCAGTACTCTCGATAAACAGAATCACCTTGAGGCTGTCTATTTATGTGAAAAAGTAGGTAATCACAGAGGGTTACTGGTGCAATTATGGTGTCTTTAACACTCCCAACAAGTGCCAGCTTTAACATTGCCTCGGCATCAGGCACATATGGTACAAAGACACCCGGTGTATCTACCAGGTATACCCCCTCAATCCCTCGCTCTGCATCGCGCTCTAGTATCTTCACTGCACTTGAGATCTTTCGTGTAATCCCTGGCTGAGCGCCGGTTGATGCTGCTTTTGATTTCTTCATTCCAGACATACGCAGAGAATTTAGTAGCGAAGATTTACCCACATTAGGCATGCCAACGATGAGGATACGTGACGGGAGAATTGACTGTCGCCTGATAGCATGATCTTTGGCGAAGTCTAGTACGGTTTTGATATCTTTCTTCGATTTGTGGTCTGTGAAGAGAGTCGAATGGGGTCTGTGCCATTCACGAATTACATCTTCTCGCTGAGGCATGTTAGGCAAAATCCGAATATCTACGTAGATATTTACATACTATATGGTCTTCTTGGCTATTCCAGCTCCCAAGGTCTTTTTTGGTATGTACAACTACCCTTTCTCGCCCCGCCAGAGCTTGCTCGAACAGCGGGTTTCGAGATGTGAGGGGGACACGATAGTCTCGACATTCCAGGATTAAATCAATTTGCGAAAGCATTGTCTTCATACCAGCAAGTCCAGAGGCATGATGACCGAGAAAGTAAGAGCGCGGGAGATTAAGTTGAGTAGGGAAATATTGACGAGGGATGAATTGGGCCATAACCAACGTCGTTATACCTATATTACTTTGAGTATTTTTTCAATTGGGAATTGGACGTGCGCTGCAATCGCCCCTAGAGTCAAAACTAGGTGGTGTTGATATCAAGCATGCAAATACCTAAACTCCAGAGTATTAGGTCGTTAGCAAAGAAATAGTACAGTCATTCCCATTGTAATAGTTCGTAAGTGCAGAGCTTCTTGGGTGGATGGCATGGATTTTTTTCTATTGACATGATTGCGGAAGTTTTGTTTGAAATTTTAACGAGCATATCCGAGCCCTGCACTCAATGGATAAGCTACGATGCCATGGATGATCGGACAAAGCGTGAGTGCCTGTCTACGGTGTTCGCTGTAGCTTTCGGTTTGAAAAAAATTTCAGTGCTAAATCTAGGTCATTTCGCAATGGCGAACAAGTTGAGCCATGAAGCAATTATTCAAGTCTACCTTCCATGTCAAACTTTCGATACCGAGAAAATTTTCTGACTAAAGCTTCATCAGGTCTGTGAACATCATTTAGTCTATCCTTATTTCAACGATCACGCCATATGAAGTCTCAGTATTCAACCTAAGACGGCCTACAAATATACGCCCACGCCCATACTTGTACCTGCTGGAGGTAACAATTTGTGATAAATGTTGGTTCCACTGAGGTTGGGTGTTGCGACCTCAGGCCATTAGGCTCGACAGACAATAATAGCTGACTAACATTGAGAGGCCTGTGCGTCTCATCTAATCCATAGACGTTCGAAACACCCTAGATTAGAATAGATCAGATTTTATTATAATCCTATCTGAGTCTACGACTATAAAAGACTTCTAGCTTCTAAATGAAAGAAACACACAAATTTTGATAAATTCAACCACTTTAATTCCCCGCATTTTCTTACAGGTAGTGAGGAACAAGTCCAGTTCGAAACACCCTAGATAGATGTAAAATATATGCAATTCAGTACACTTTATTTCCATTCCCAGCACTAGTGCTTAAGTCCTGTCAACAATAAATGAATACAGAATAAAGTCTTTTTGGATTCACGTGAGAAACTAGGACAAGTTTGCAAGATAATGCAGAGGATTGATACAATCTCTACGGGCGTAAGATTTTGAAATTCTAGGGCATTTCGTGCGCAAAGTATTCGATTGCGAGAGTGCAGCTGACACAATAAATACAACTCAATGATGGAAGGTGACGTGGTCCGCCTCCTGGTGGTGTTCTCTGGTATGGTTTGAGTAGCCTGGACACCTACTCCACTTGGGAAAGAGACACCTCAGATCACATATCGCGCGGAGAAAAGTTGAAAGATGATGGAGGCATGTCTGGATAACTCAGGGTTTTTGAGACGTTCCCCTGGGTGGGTATTCACGGATGAGGGTTGACTTGGGGTGAAGAAAAAGCCACCATAGCATCGCAGTGGCACTTGCAAATGAAACGGAGGCATGAGTGCTCCTCTTGTAAATTGAGTCATCTTTTCTGTACTTTTCTTTGATATTGTGTCATAGCTAGATAGCTGCATACGCAATTAAAATCTGATGCAAAAAAAAAAAATATTCGGTCTGGTGGAGGGCAAGACAGAAAACCTATACGCGGTGTCCTCTACGAGTCTAGGAGTGAAATATTCTCCCAGAGCCAAGTTCAGTCAAATCTCGCAATATCGAACAAGTTGGCCCACGAGGAAATGATTCAAAATTCTCTACCATATCAATCTTTCACTCCCAACGAAATCGATTCCTACCTAAGCCTCATCAAGTTTACAAGTACGACCTAGTACATCCTCATTCAAATGATCACACCTCTAGTCGACTTTCTCTGGCCTCAGCCGGTCACCAAATACACGCCTACGCCGATATTTACACCTGACGGAAGAAGCAAAGCGTGGCGCACAAATCTGGAAGACAGTTCTTTGGGATGGACGTGAAAAAGATCAGGACAAGTTTACAAGATGATGCAAAAGAGGGATAAGTTTTTGACGGGCATCAAATTTCGAATTTTGCCAAGGAGTTTTTACAATTTGAGCTTTGTGCGCGCCAAGACTTCGGTTGCGAGAGTGCAGGCGACACTATAAAAACCGCCATGGTTGGATGGTGCGGTGGTACATCATCTGGGCTGGTCTGCCGAGTAAAGTCTGGGTAGCTTGGACACATATCCCACTCAAGACAGTAGATCGCTGGTTCGAATCCGGCAAAACACAACCACTTTTCTCGCGGTGCTAATGCACATGGATGACGAAGGCATGCTTGGATAACTAAAGGCTTCGAAATTCCCTTTGGTGGGTACTTACGGGGGAGGGTCGAATGTTTGTGTAAGCGAACATACCTCATAGTGGTATGTGCGAATGGAATCCAGAGTATGAGTGTCTCTAACGTCAAAAGAGTCATCTCACATGTATACACAGTACCGGTCATGTGTCATAGCTCCATAGCTGAACGCATATTAAATGATTTAAAAAAAAATCGGTCTGGTATGTCTAGATTTCAACACTCAGGTGTAATAGAGCAGGAAATATATAGAGTGTAGTAGTCTATAGATGAAAGGGTAGATAATCTTCTGCTTGACTTAGACTTTGTTATATTAACTAGGCTATATGGGAGCAGGACGATGGATACTCTTGGGGAAGTTATGCTCACAGTAGGTCTCTATAGTCGCTGTCGCGTGTGTTCTCGTGATATGTAAGACTTGACTCTATATTCTCGTATAAAGGAAACTTGGTTACAAATGAATGGACGGAGGTTGAGACCTCCTTATATCTTGCTCCAGACTTACTGTGTTGTTCACAGCCTAGTGCTAGAACATTCCCTTATGATATCATTTCTCTCCTACGAGAAATGACCAGCTCGTTCTCTCTCAGTCCATCAGTCTCTCGCTGATTCCGTTATCTCTATTCCATCTAGTTCTAGTTTGGTCCAGTATACTCACACATGCATCACACATGCATTACACACTAAACACCCTACGGTTTAGTTCCACAGTCACGTGCATATGCTATGACGCGACCTAAAGCATGTACCATGGTAAGTTACATGGATAACACAACACTCCCCCTGACGACAATAGACGTCTAACAATTTTGAAGTTGCATTCTAGAACTGATGTGTTCAGGATGGACGCCGAACATTTTCGAGGAATCAGCACTCATTTTATTTGTACTGAAGAATTTGCCTTTGTCAGACTATCCGCAAGTTGTTGATCCGATGGCACATAAATCACTGCAATCGCTTCTTGTTGATACTGTTGGCGACAGTAATTATTCCGCAAAGCAATATGCTTCGAGCGCTTATGGTTGTCGTGATTTTTAATCAGTGACATCGCGGATTGATTGTCGACGTACAAATTCGTTCGTTCCGACCCTTCAATGAGTTGAGCAAGGCCTAATTCGATTAGTAATGATTTAACCCATTGCAGCTGTCGACATGTCTCCGTTGCGGCTAAATACTCCGCCTCTGTTGTTGATAAAACAACCTCTCGTTGTAAGTGAGATCTCCAACTCACTGGCCCCGATGCTAATCTAATAAGGGAACCCGATGTCGATCTGCTCGAATTTGGGTCACCGGCAAAATCTGCGTCCGAGTAGGCTTCTAGAATTGGTCTTCTCTTCTCCGTCTTGAAGGTTATCCCTTTCTCTGGATCTTTCGAAATATATCGAAGAACTCTCTTTGCTGCCAGGAAATGCTCGTCTGATGGATTTGCTAAGAATCGTGCCAGATGGTTGACGGAGTGGGCTATATCGGGATGTGTGTTATTCGCAAGATACTGTAGCCCACCCACGATCGAATTATACTCTGCCTTCTGTTTTGGTGAACACTGAGAGCTATTGGGCTCCATTAAGCGCTCAAGTGGCGAGTTTGCTGGCTTACATTCCTCTAGTCCATGCCTTGTGAGTAATTTCCTCGCGTAATGGCCTTGCGATAATTTAAGCGTTTTATTATTTGGGTTACTAATACGAATCCCCAGGAATAGATCCGTCTTCACCGTCTTCAGCTTATACTTCTTGTACAAGGCCTTCATCAACTTCTCTACTTTCCCAATACTCGGTCCCATCACCTGAAAATCGTCGACGTGGATTATCACAAACAAATCCTTCTCTTTATTACCATAAAGGCATACGTCTGTTGTGAATGGGAATAGCCCCTGATGGGCTAGGAAAGCTTTAACATCATCGTACCATAAGGCTGCGGCTTGCTTGAGCCCATACAGACCTTTTCTAATACGGACAACGTAACCCTCTTTCTTGAATCCCTCTGGCATCTCCATATATAGATCTATATCTAGATCTGGATTCAAAAATGCTGCCGGGACATCTCCTTGTTGCCTATACCAACCGAACCTATGTGCCAGGACCAGCATGATCCGCCCAGTCTCTGCTCGTGGTGTGGGTGCAAATGTTTCCTTATAATCTATGCCCGGACGTTGGGTGAACCCTTTAACGGTACATCGCGCTTTGTATTTGTCGAGGGATCCGTCTGCGAGCAGTTTCTTTTTAAACACCCACTTGCTCTTCATAAGCGTTCGGTCTTTTGGTATTTGGCTACGCTTTATAATTTTAATCACTCCCATGTCCCGCAAAGAGCGATACTCCTCATCTGCCGCTTGTTTCCAATGTTTCGCTTCCTGGCTACTCATCGCCTCTGACCACGATTTTGGATCACTGTGAGGTCTTGTCGCTTTGCCGTGGTGAAGTTTGTAATAATCAACTCTCTTAATTGGTCTACCACGCTTGCTGCGCGTCACTGGAGGTTCTACCGAGTGATGACGCTTATGTCCCGCTATTGGAGGTAGTTCATCCCATCCTGTCATTATTTTGTCATAGACCTCCTCTTCTAGCTCGGTATTTTCAACAACTGGCCCAATCTCTCCCTGATCGGACTGTAAGTTCCCTTCCCTATGGGAGACCTGATTCTCATCTGACTGACGACCAGCTTCCTCAGTATCATCTCTCTGTCCTAGCTGATCAGATCTCTCGGATGGACTTATCGATGCATGTTCGCTATCATATTCACTGGCACTAT